GACACAGAACACGAAAATGGACAACAACAAGGCGGTGAAGACAACAACAAAACAACAGCCTAATTGCAGCCCAAAATTGTTGCGTTCGTCTGCCAACACTGCCAGTCCCATGAATGACGACAACCAGAGGGGGGTAGCAACGATGATGGCACGGCGGACAGGCACACCGACAACGACACGAAGAAGGATCAACGGCCGCGTGGACATTATGCGGATGTGGAGATCGGAGCACGCAATCGCGTGCAGCCAAGTCCAGGGGACTTCTGTGAAGATCCGTATCACACGTTCGCCCACGCGGAATCCGATGAGGACGAGGAAAAGCTGATGAAGACAATGGCGGTATACGTGGAACGACAACTTCCGTCGCAGCCCATGTGGGCTGAAACAACAGTCGATGCAGTATGTTCACACCGCGGCTGATTGCTGAAACAGCTTCTCCCGAACGGCTCCCTGACGACCATCGCCGCGCCGGCCGCCCGTTCCGTATGCAACCACTGCCCATACCCTGCCCGGTGACATTGCCAAAAACCATGTCGCCGACCAAAGACCCCGCGCCCTGCGCCTATAATGCTCCTCAGCGATGACATTGCACTCCAAATGCAGCTTTGGATCCCAGTACTCGACATGAGGACAGCGCTTGGGGCTAATGGGATCTGCACGTGCACTCATATGCTGCCAGCGTTTGGCTAGATTACCCATGCATGGCTGGCCATCGTTCCCGGCCCGCCCGTTTTTTTGAATTTGAAATTCGTTGCCGTTTCGGAAATCAGGGCCCACGCAGGCCAGCCACACAACGGCCTACATGGGAACTGTGCGACAGGGCAGTGCATGTCCGAGCGGGCTTACCCGCCCATGAAACGGTCCGCCGTGACGTCAAATGGACCATGCCCGCTCGACATCTTCTTTCCATGAGAGAACATGCCCCCCCCCCCACTCAGTTGGAAGACATTTCTGGAAAGGTCCTGGAAAGCCGCACGCTTCGGTTTCCAGGCCACCAACTGAGTAGAAACGCTTCTGACACCTCTCCCGCAACGTCTTTCCACGGTTCGTGGGGTCTGAAAAACCTTCCAATTCTGGGTTTCCATGCTCTTTTCCAGATAAGTGGAGTCCCAAACACACCGTCCTGGACAGATATTTCCAGGAAGCCGAGCAGTGGGGTCCGACCCTTAGCCGCACAGGTTGTGGAAGTCGGAGAACGAGAAGAAAATTTGCTACCTGTCAGAGAATGCTTCTCGACACCTGTCGAAAGTTGTTAAATCCCTAGCCTGCTACTCCGATGCTTTCGACAGTCCTCGGCTGCGCCATCGCCTTCCCTTCGAAATTTGGTGAGTGGGGGTAAGGTGGGGATGGACTGATGCTTGTCGTACCCTCAAGCGTGTTCGTCTTTTTTCCATCTTGCTTTCACAAGTGCATGCACTCTACAGTGTTGTGTGGCTAAAGGGGGGCAAACTGTCCAATGGACGCTGTCAAATTCGTTCTGACACCAGTCAAGTTTTTTTGCCTTTCGACTGTGGTGTGGCGAGGCCCAAAGTGCCGCAAGTTTTGCGCAGGGGCCAAGTCCCAGTTACCTGAAAACTCAACTTCTGACCGTAGATTCGGAAGATCCATGGCACGAAATGAAGAATGAACGTAAGTGGGACTTGGCCACAGGGTCTAGAATTGCCCGAGTCATTACCCACAGTGGCGCTTGGGTCGCCTGTTTTGCTCCATTTCGGGAACTACTAAAGTTGCCTATTCTACTGTCGGGCCTAGCTCCATTGGTACACCCCTAAACTGTTGAATCACAGACTGAAGTTCAAACCCAGATACCTTCAGATAAAACGAATAGAGTCATTCTGAGTTACCTAGGGCTGTTCAGTTCAATGATGATATCTAAAGGGGGTAACTTCAGTAGGGTCACAAAAAAGAGTTACGACTGCACTATGGGGCAAGACACAGTTTGCAATTGCACTCCGGGCACCCTACTTGGCCAGAAAGTTGAGTTGTATACATTGCAGGAACTGCAATTGGAAGCTGTATCTTGGCCCGTAGTGCGAGTATAACTCA